CTCTGAATTCAAAACCTCCTGCTACCTTGTAGGTCCTGCCTTCTTAGGCAAAGGCTAAAAGATGGTGACTTAAAAAACAAATCTACTTGCATGTCATCTCAGAGAAAGGATCTGCCCCCCCACCCCCCACTAGTGTGACAGAAAATAATGGGCTGAGTATAATGGTTCAAATAAACAAAAATGCCTAGGTCACAGCATAGCACTTTGGAGCTTGCTGATTTTACACCATTCACCCTTGAGTCTAAGACCCACGGTATTTTTTATCAGTGGTTCTCAACTAGGGTGCATATGGACCCTGGGATTCATGTAACATTACTAGGAATCCACAGTAATATTTTAGTGGTTCACAGAGCAATTTCATTTCGAAATGATTGTTACAACTGAGAATTGGAATTTCTACAGTAATTTACACCATATTAAAATACCAAAAATAGAAAAACAGCTTTAAAGCTAGCAGAAAATGAAATCAAATGATGTAATTTAGTGTCCCTTTTACTCTACTTGAGGTTTGGATTGTAAAAGTTGAATAAAATCTGACGATATATAAAGGAAAATTATATAAAGATTATAATTTATTATATAAATTAATTTAATATATTAATAGTAATATTAATTTTAAATAATAATAAAATATCTATGGAGTGGAATATAAAAACTCTTAGAGTAGCATCAACTACAGGGATCTCATTGAATAAATCAGTATTTTTTAAGATTTATTAATTACTCACATATTTTAAAATGGTTTATTATGAGTTATTTTACAAGCGTACACAAATGTTCTATAAAATTTAGTTGTCAAATACAAATTTATTTTCATTAAATTAGTTTTATTTCAAAATACAGCATATACATTTACTATTTCTATAATACAATTCTTAAACTTATCTATTAGTAAAAAATAAAATAAGCTTCTTTTTCATCAAATCGTTATGGAGGTCTACCAAAAGAATTAAGAGTAAAAGTGGTCCATGGGTAAAAAAAAGTTGAGAACCACTGCTTTAGACAACAACAAGGCTCAACAGTCACTTTAGGTAGAGGGTTACTGTTAAAATAGTAATGATGAATGAGGTGCATGATATAAATGGAAGGAAGTGAGGATAAGGAGGATAGATAAAGTTGGTTTTATTCCAGATTTAATTCAGTTAGCTTGATAATGTTTTTATTAATAACTATTTTTCATGTACATCAATTGTTATTCCATGAAAATGAAATACTTGTTAAATCGAAGAAATGTAGACATTTGGCATCTACCATTTCGGAAGAAAAGAACTAAGAAGAAATGCAACAACAAAAAATTTTTTTGTCAAATAAAATTCTTTGGGATAACTTTGACATATGTATCTTGAAAACATTTAATTTTTTTCTAAATTAGAAGACCTAGTTACCAAAGGCCTTATATATATATATATATATATATATATATATATATATATGTATGTATGTAAGCAATTATATGGATATAGATCCGACAGTATGAAAAAAATATACTGAAAAAACAAACAAAAATCCTAATATGCAATTATGCTGTTTTAATGTTAAATAATGTCAAAAATTTGAGTATTTCAAATGAAATACCATCTTCAGGACATATTCGCCCCAAAAACATAATTAACATAATCATATTTAAATGGAACGCTGATCTTATAAAAGATTTCAGTTATCTGTTTGGATTTGTCTTGCTTTTATGTCCATCATCTTTTTCATGTTGAATTGAATATGGTCTATGTTAATTATGTTTTATGAATATGTCCTGAAGATGGTCTATTAGACCGAAACGTCTGACGTTGACATTATATTAACATTAAAACAGCATAATTGCATATTAAGATTTTTGTTTGTTTTTTCCGTATATTTTTCTTTATATATGTGTGTGTGTGTGTGTATTATATATATATATATATATATATATATATATATATATATATATATATATATATATATATACAAGGCCAGTTCTAGGGTTACTGGCACCCCAGGCAAGCTGAGCTTTGGTGCCCTTACAAGCATAATTTTTTTTTAAATTTTCACTAGGAGAAACTGTAAAAGTAAAATAATGCCCACTCATTCATTTTTCTTTGAAGGTGTTTGATCATGACACCATGACAGAAAAAATTAATAATCAAATTCCCAAAAATTTTTCTCAAGAAATTTAATATTTTCTTCTTTTATTTATTATTTTTCACATTTTTTCCTTTTGTCTGGAAGATCCCAAACACATAACATGGCGGCATGATAGCACCCCAGGCAACTACTCAAGTTGCCAGTACCCTGAGCTGGCCCTGTACATATATGTTTCTTTTCTCAGATTGAGTATATCTATAGAGGAGATAAAATGAATGAAAAGACAAAAGGAAAATTATACTTAGTTTTCAGCTGACGCATTTCATAATCTGACAAAATGTGTCAGTTAAAAAGTTTGGCTGTTAAAACCTAGATTATGTCATATAGCATCTTCAAAAGGAAAATTTATAAATTTAAAGACACTTATAAATATTCAACAGGTTAGGGTCTAAATGCCTAGACATTTCAGTTAACCTGATGAATCTTTATGAGTGTTGATAAATTTACAAATTTTGAGTAATTGTCAAATACATACTTGTTGCAAAATAAAACTATCACATTTGGCTTGATAAAGTCCATCAGATGATAAAATGTGCCGACTAAAAACTAAGTATAGTTTTCTTCTGGTCTTTCCATTCATATATATATATATATATATATATATATATATATATATTATTTTTAAGACATTTTTATGTTTATGCATTCTTTATATATATATATATAGTTTTCAGCTATGCTATATTTATGGCTAAAAGTGCTCAATATCAGAGACAGAGCATATGTAAATATAAAAGTTCACAGAAACAATTGTGTTCAAACATGAAACAGACTGTCGCTGCTCGGTGTTGACTTCAGTGTCCACTTTCACATTATATGTCAATATATGAAAAAAAGCTCAAAAGACCCATCTTTTGACTGAAAAAATTTGGTGGACACACCACTTGTCAGGGTCAGATAAATTGAGTAGTATATCTGTGAAATATAGAAATCAAGATAAATCAAGCAGTGTATCATCCAAAAGATAAGTGTTAGGAATTTTTCTTAATATGCTGACTATTTTTTGTAGGCTGACATGTTTTGTTAGGTGTTATCTCTCTCTCTCTCTCTCTAGATATATATATATATATATATATATATATATAGTTTGATAATTAGTATGGATAATTCCAAAGAGGATATACATTCAAAGAGAGCTCAATGTAAGAACAGAGCAAATAATAATGATGAAAACGGATACTTTAGAAATCCATGGTAATATTTTATGAAATTGAATCGATAGTGTCTCATCAGACCAAACAATTTCATATCATATATATATTAATTTTACTTATATTTTATATTGACTCTGATTTGCATATTTTTTTATATTTTACATTAAGTACTGTCTTTATAGCATCTCTGTTTGCTTTTAGTATACAATATAATCATAACTTTCTACCATCTGCATGGTGCTTTATGGCACACAAAACCTTATATAGTGTCTATCAAGAAATCTTAATAAAGAAAATGATTTCTTAAGCAGAGTGCATAGGCTGATAGATGTAATGTACATTTTAAATATAAAAAGGAGACATCTATTTTAAATATGAGTATCCACTAAAAAGGCTTTAAGTAACAAAAATGTAAATGTAATAAAAATGTTGGATTAAAACTAAATCCATTAATTTTTAGAATTATCTAAAGAATTAATGGATTAATTTTTAATCCAACGTTTTTTTATATATTTATATAAACAAAGTAATTATTTCATATTTTAGATAATGTATATATTTTTATATAAGTGAAATAACTATTTACTAAATTCAGGTTAGTTTGGCACAAGGTCACAAAGAGGAGTTACTCAGAGAAGATCAAGCTCTTTTTACTCCCAACAGCCAGCTACTTATCACTCTCTAGCAGATTCCACAGATAACATGTATATCTGTCTCTTTATGCATGCGTTTCAAATTTGAGAAAATCTAAGTAAAAGGTTTGACAAATGAATGCAGGTTTTTAATTTTGCTGTTTATTTGTTTTTTGTTTTGTGTGTGTGTGTGTGTGTGTGTGTGTGTGAAATTCTGGGCTAAAAATTTAAAGAAATAGAAAGTCCTTTTCTGAACAAGAAATTATAAGTCTAGTTGCAGAAACCAAACAAAAAAACAGGTGACTCTCTCCAGGTCATCAATATTAAAAATAAAAAGTAAATGAATATAAAAAAAAGTGTATTCAGCCAATGGTAAATAAATATATAAAAAAAAGTCTATTCAGCCAATGGTAAATAAATATATAAAAAAAAAGTCTATTCAGCCAATGGCAAATAAATATAAAAAAAATAAACAGTACATCACATGACCCTTTCAATCCAATGGTCATCTATATAAAAATAAGCAATACATAACCTTGTCCAGCCAATAGACATCTACATAAAAAATACTGATACACAAAACTTTAAGTCATGGAAAGCAACATATGAATATTGTTTTATTTATATTTTATATTGGCCCTCTTTTGTATATATTTTGTATTTTATATTGAGCATTGTTTTTACAGTATCCATGATTGCCTTTATTATACAATAATCATAATTTTCATCTATCTGCCCTATGGCACACAAGACCGTATAAATGTTTTATACATATGATATGTACCTTTTCACTGTATACAATAAAACGTTTATAATATTTATGGCTAAAAATGAGAGATTAGTATAAAAGTAAAGAATAATATAAGATTGATCCCCCACTTTCATCTCTTACCACTTATTTACAAACATGTTTTTGTATTAATTTTTCTGAGGTATAGAAATGTATTTCATTTTTAATAATAAAAGAAAAACAGGATATTAATATAGTAATCGAGAACAGAGTGAAGTTGATCCCTCAATTTATGTTCACAACACTCTTGCTTATTTATCAAATAATGAATCTCTAAAGAGCATGATTCTGGAGTGAACATCATCATGTCGTGACTAGAGTGTAACTATTTAAAAAAAAAAATGAAAAGGAAAAAGTAAAGAAAAGAAAAAAAGAAAGAGAAAAGAAAAAAAAGAAAGAGAAAAGAAAGAGAAAAATAAAAACCAAGAAAAGTAAAAACAAAGAAAAAAAGGAGAAAAAACAGAAGAAAAAAGAGAAAGAAAAGAAAGGGAATAAGATAATACCAAACTATAAAATTGGTCCCATACTTTATATCCACACCACCTGTACCAATTAATTAAATACTGATGACTGACAAACTTTCCTTGAGTTACCTTCGTCTCTTGGCTATAGAAATGTATAGAATCCTCAACCAAAAAATGGGGATCAGTATCTTAGTAGAAAAACTATATAAAATTGATCCCTCACTTTATATCCATACCACTTGAGCTTATTTCTTAATCAAATATTGGAGTGCTACAAGTATTGCTTTAGTTATCTTTATTTGATTATAAAAAAAAAATGATAGAATTTATGATAAACTGAAAGTGGAGGATCAGTATAATAGTTGAGAACAATATAAAACTGATCCCTCACTTTACGCCCACACCACTTGAGCTTATTTGTTAATCGAATACTTAATTTTCAACAAGTATTTTATTTGAGTTATCAGATCATACAGTGTACAGCAGAAATATCTTCCACATTCTGGTAAGATGTTAGTGGTAATGTTTTCTTCATCTATCTAACATCTTACTATTATGAGAGGTATTTCTGCCATACCCTATATATATATAATATTGTTGTAGCATACCTATGGATGATAATGGGTATGTCCCCATTCACATAAAGACAGTAGTAAATACTGTGTGTTGGTCTGCAATTGGAGATTCATCTCCAGCTGTGCTGGTCAAACTCTGCCTCCAGGCAGAGATGATCCCTGGATGAGGCTATGTTGAAGAGCAGACTCTCATTTCAGGAAACAGCTACCCGACCCCATTTTATACAGGGTATACGGGGAATTTCTGGCTGAGCCTACAGGTTCGGATACCCCACATTAAATTAGGCGTTGTGCCACATCTGTGTAGAGCAGTTGGTAGATATACTGCAGATGGAGATTCATTATGGAATTCACTTGACTCACTTCTAGCAGTTGACTACTACTTCCATGTGCCGCTGGTGAATCTTGTATGTGTTGTTCTTGTCCGAAGTATTATCATTCATAACCAACCTTCGTTTGATTATTCTATTCAGTAACCTTCCCTAGGTTACAGCAAATATAATTTCTATATATATATATATATATATATATATATATATGTACACTACTTATTAAAAGCACTCGATATCAGTGATAGAGCTAACATATTCAGTCATATGGATATGAGTTTGGAACCCTGGTTTTTTTGTGATCATCAGACAATGATGATCGCAAAAGCTTGAAATTTTTTACAAACTCATATCCATACAACTGAATATATATATATATATATTATAGCCAGTAGAAAATGATGATAACCGCAAAATAAGTGATTAGTATAATAAAGAACAATATAAAACTGATCCCTCATTTTTTGTGCACATCACTTGCGCTGGTTAATAAAATACTGATTATTTACAATTATGTTTTTTAAAAGTTACCTGGTATTTCTTTTGGAAAATTGTCTAATTGACAAGATTTTTTTATGTAAATCATTTTGGCATGTGTATATTTATATTACTTAGTGGATACTCGAATTTGTAATAGATGTCCCATTTTTATTTGAAATATTGTATATTACATCTGGTTTGTGCACTGCATTCCATTCAAGAAATTTTAATAAAGAAAATATGCTCTTTATTTAGATTTCTTGAGTGCAGTGCATAGTCTCATCGATGTAATATACATATTAAATAAAAAAAAAGGAGACTTCTATTTCAAATGTGAAAATCCATTAAAATAAATGTAAAATATGAATATCCATTAAAATACAATTTTTAAGTAATAAAAATGTGGATTAAAAATAAATCCATTAATTCTTTAGATAATGTGAATATTTATATAAACAAAGTAATTATTTAATATTTTAGATAATGTATATATTTTTATATAAGCAAAGTAACTATTTACTAAATTCAGGTTAGTTTGGCACAAGGTCAAAAAGAGGAGTTGCTCAGAGAATACCAAACACTTTTTGCTTGCAACAGCCAGCTACCTATCACTCTCTAGTACATTCTTCAGATAATGTGTATATCTGTCTCTTTATGTATGCGTTTGAAATTTGACAAAATACAAATGAAATGTTTGACAAATTAATGCAAGCTTTTAATTTTGCTGTTTATTGATTTGTTTTATTCTTTGTGTGTGAAATTCTGTGCTAAAAATTCAAAAAATGAAAAAAGTCCTTTTCTGAACAAGAAATGATAAATCTACTTGTAGAAACCAAACAAAAAAACAGGTGACTCTCTCCAGGTCATCAATATTAAAAAATAAACACTGTATCACATGACTCTGTTCAGCCAATGGTAAATAAATATAAAAAAATAAAAAGTACATCACATGACCCTATCAAGCCAATGGTCATCTATATAAAAATAAAAAATACATAACCTTGTCCAACCAGTGGTCATCTATATGAAAAATGAAAAAAAGATGACCCTGTCTAGCCAATGGTCATATCTATATAGAAATAAATATATAACTTTATCCAGCCAAAGGTCATTCCAAAGAAATGAAAAAAAAACAACAGATGACATCTGTATAAAAATAAGAAACATATAACCTTGTCCAGTCAAAGGTTATCTCCAAAGAAATTAAAAAAAACAACAGATGACACTGCCAAGCCAATGATCATCTGTATAAAAATAACAAACACATAACCTTGTTCAGCCAACGGTCATCTATATAAAAAATAAAAACAGATGGCCCTGGCTAACCGATGGTCATCTATATAAAAATAAGAAATACATAACCTTGTCCAGCCAAAGGCCATCTCAAAGAAATTTAAAAATACAACAGATGACGTTGTCAAGTCAATGGACATCTGTATAAAAATAATACATAGCTTTGTCCAGGAAATGGTCATCTACATAAAAATACATAACCTTGTCCAGCCAGTGGTTGGTCATCTATATGAAAAATAAAAACAGATGGTCGTGTATAGACAATGGTCATCTATATGAAAAATAAAAACAGATAACCCTGTCTAGCCAATGATCATCTATATAAAAATAAGAAACACATAACCTTATCCAGTCAAAGGTCATCTCAAAAGAAATTAAAAAACAACAGATGATGCTGCTTAGTCAATGGTCATCTCTATAATAACTAAAACCATAGCCAATGACTGTATCCAGCTAATGGTTATCTACATAAAAAAGGATAAAAAATAAGTTTTCTTTTCTTTGGCCAATGGTCATTTAGAGAAAAGTTTGTTTTTTTTTGTTTTGGGTTATTCTTACCAAGAAAAGACAAGGAAAACGAAAGTTTACAGACCAAAAGCCAATAATCTTGGTGCTTCAGTGAGAAAAATTCAATTTTGTTTGTGAATCGAAATAGAATTGTTGCTTTTTTTCTTTTCTTTTTTTTTTTTTTTTTTTTGCTCCTCAAATTTTTGCAATAAAGTTTGATGGAGAACAAAAATATTATGTAATAGTGACATTGCAGTTCATATAATTTGGACTAATATCCTCATCGTTTTGTTTTATTGTTTTTTTTTCATTTTTAAAAAAAAAAAAAAAAAATCATTTTGACCAGATTACACTTTGAGCATTTTCAGCCATCACATTAACTTTACTTGCGATAATGCCTTTTGAAAGAAATGAAAAAAGAAAAAGCATATTGTAAAAAGTAAAAATTCTTGTATAGTTACCATTGCAATTTTTTTAAAAGAATAGAAAATAAAAAATATATAAAAGAAAAAGTAATTAAAAATAACAATTCTGGATTGTTCCAAAAGCAAATCAAAAGTGTTCAAATTTTTCTTTGAAGTGTCTTGATGAAAAAAAAAATGCACCCCACCAAAGAAAAAGAAAAGTACATTCTCGCTGTATTGATAATTAATGTTAATAAGGGTTGGTTTCTTGTCTAAAAATAATCTTTTTGTACAATGTTTACTTTCACAAAAGAAGACACTTGTATGTATACAATAAAAACATAAGAGAAACTAAACAAAAATACCTTGTCAGACTTGTTCAGTGAAACATGTATTAAAGGGAGATTGCTACTCAAATACACAAATTATATATATATATATATATATATTAATGAATTTATCCCAAGCAAAGCAATAAAGCCACTAAGATGCAGGGGATACTGAGAGTGAGAAAGACTTTAGAATGAACTGGAAACCCATTACTGAAAAGGAAACAAGGAATAAATTTCCTCACACAGACACATACATATATATATATATATATATATATATATATATATATATATGTGTGTGTGTGTGTGTGTGTGTGTGTGTGTATATATATATATATATATATATAAAGAAATATAGTCTTAAGGTGTACTATATTTATGGAATAAAGTGCTCAATATCAGAGATAGAGCGTGTGTAAATATAAAATGTTATATGAAATCGTCAGGCCTGACGATTGCATATAGCATGAAACAGACTGTCGCCTCTAAGTGTTGACTTCTATGTTCACTTTTATATATATATATATATATATATATATGCATGCTGAATATATTTATTCTGTAATGTTAACATAAACATTGTTGAAAAGAGAACCACTTTTCATGTTGAAGGGCATTAGTCAAACTGCAAACACTACAAATGTTTTGGTATTTGACAAGGATTCATTTACCTACACTAATGATATATTGTAATTCTAATAATAGCAATAATTAATTGCATCTGGCATAATCTGTTTCATTTATTTTCACACTAATGCTCTTTGAAAAGGCATGAATGTATTTCTTCTACCAAAGCTATGGATTAAAGAGGATAAACCGGGTTCTTTGGCCTTGGATGGCAACCAAACTACAAAACTGTGAAGTAAGCAATGAGAAATTACTTCCCTATCTTTTCCAAGAAGTCATAGTAATTCACAGATAAAGAAAAGAAATCTGTGGGAAGTCATGGTGACCTATGACCTCAAAAAATAAAAAAAGAAAAAAAAATCTGCAGCAACAGAAATTAAATTGTCAAAAATGCAGTAAATTACCATAGGAAAAATATACGATTGGGTAAGGATGATCCTTTATTGAGAATTGTGTACAGACAAGCACTTCCAAGGGGGGAGGGGGTAAAAAAGTA